CTGCGGCTCCTTGTCGCCTCTATCTTAAGAAGCAGTTAAAAAATATGGTGGGCTGTGGTGATGTGTTGCTTCAGGTACTAAAATAGTAGCCAGGTAAACTGTAGAATTACACCAGTCAACCGCAACAATAAAACCACTGACATGTCAAGGGAATAACTTTGATCATCTCGTTACAGTGCAGTGTTCTGTTGGGAAGCCCTGGGTTCTGGCATCCATGTGGATGTTACTTTGACATATACCACTACCTAAACATTATTTCAGGTGAAATGTGGCCTCCAGACTCCCCAGATTGCAATCTGATTGAGCATCCATGGTATATGTTGGACAAGACTGATCCATGAAGGCCCACCCTGCAGTCCATCAGTCCCAATAATTTCCACTGCCCACATCTCAGAGCCAGACACCACAGGACACCCCCACAGGGCCCCTATCCATGCCTTGATGGTTCACAGCTATTTTGGCGGCATGAGGGGGACCTAAAAATATTAGACAGGTGGTTTTAATATTCTAACTGATCAGCATACATAAAAGTCATATTACAAAGTAATGTACCTGAAACTTACATGCAAAACTTGAGCCTTGTTCAGATTTTTTGCTCTGGAGCGTAGCATGTTTTTCACTGTACCCCTCCCCTTTGAAAATAATAAATGAAGGGGCTGCTTTTTTATGCAATGTTGCAATTGCAATTTGCTAGGAACATAAGGAATGATTACAGTATACCCACTTTCAACATACATATAAATTAGGTTTACATCCAAACTAATTTATACTTAAAATCTACTACAAAATGGATGTGCATTGTTATTGTCTACTGTTCATTTTGGGAGTTGCTGCATTTGAAGAGTGGGTGGTGCTAATTCTCCAGTCAATTCCTTTAATTTGGGAAACTGAAAATTGTCTTGTCTTTCTTTCAGCACATATATGCAAATGAAATATTCAGCAGGTAGGTGGAAGCACACTTATAGGACCCCAATCTTTAAAGTTTCCACTGGATGCTAGAACGGGCTGCTGCCACTGAGGGATGTTTGTACGACATGAACATACATTCTACCTACCTTTGCATACTCTCTTCACTCTTTTCTACACAGACACACATTAATATTCATACATATCTCTGCAGAGCTTTTAATCCAGCCTGAGCAGATTTTCTGGTGTCCACCCCAAATGCAGTTTCAAATCAACAGCAAGCAGAAGGAAAAAGGTTTCTTTAAACATCAAATATTACAAACACTTAATCTATTCTGTGCTTTTCTGTAGACCTCACAGTGTCACCCCTGAGTCTCTGCCCCCTGACATCTCCAGTGTTTTGTTTCCCTGCATTTCCTTCCTGGGGCTTTATTTGTCAAGATTGCTTCCTGGCTCAAGGTCAACCCTCCTCATTCAGCCTCCTCTCCTCAACGTATCGATGCCAGTCGAGCCAAGGTTCTTGGCCGCTAAAGCAAAATCGATATCCCTGAGCGCTCAGTGCTTGTGCTCTAATATCCTCCAAGCACCACCTGCCAAAATATTTATACTGTATTCATGGGAGATGCTTAGAGAAAGACACAGAGGAACAAGGAAAGACAATGCCGGCGGCTTGCTGCGGTCTTAAATAGAATACAGTGCAGCTCATTTCAAAGTAGCGGGTGATTTATGCTTTTTTGCATTTCTTTTTAAATGTTGCAGAGTCCGTGCTGCTAACTTAGCTCAGTGTTTCAGTCTTAGCTCGAGTTTGTTGAGGAGTGTGAATATCATTAATGTGCAGGTTACGGCAGGGTGAATGACCTCATTTGTAACATTTTTTTTTTCTTTTTCCACAAGAGCCTCTGATTGTTCTGTTTACTTAACACTGACAGAAAGAGTAATGAGAGTGGGAACACTGGGGGAGCAAGCTCAGGCATGATTAAATGATACAGCATTTTCTTCCACAACCAGCAAGAGTTTTCCACTTCTGACCGCTGCTAGATGGAGGATGTTTGCCACAGGTGTTAGGCCTGACAGCTTTCAGCTCTGCCAGATGGGCAGCAGAACAAATACAGCCCGTGTTAATCTCTAGTTGTCTTTTTGCCCTTGCGGCGAGGGCATGTGACAGCCGAGGGTGTTTGTATGAAGTGTATTGATGGTTTGACCTCATGACTTAATAAACTCCTCTGTACTTAATCCTCCTGGACAAAAAAAAGCTAGAATGAGAGAGGGCTCTGGTATTCTGGTGGCGCACGCCCCATTGTGGCTTTGTCACATTGTGGGAGAAGGTATTGGCGGGGGCCACGGGGTGCTGGGGGGTGCAGGGGTAGACCTTGGTGGTTAACATGCAAATTAACAGTCTAATGGGTCTGAAAAGGTCATGTAGGTTAAACTCTGTGATAATTGAGTGTTGAACTTAAAGCATCGTCTCTTCGTATGTGTGGGTTTTTGTGGGTGGCTGGTCAGCTTTACAGCTGTGCTTTTTTTCTCACAATACATTTTTTAAAAAGACCACAAGGCCTGTAAACCCTGCCTGCAGGACATCAGTCAAACACAACAGAACAACTGCAACAGACAGAGAAGCAGAAGTTATTTTTAAAAGAAAAATAAATAAATAATAATAACAAAAAAAAAAAGACAGCAAAGACAGAAAGCAAATGAGCAGCAAAGGAACAAATGATGATGATCGCACAAGGCCGGCTTGATGGTGTGGGCGTGCAGGTTGTTTGGGGACAATCAATTTTGTATGATATCTTTTTTTTTATTTTATTGATATGCACCCTGTGGAGGTAAATGCCATCATGGCCCTCACTATAGATGTCTGCTTTGTGGACGATTGATTGGTCTGGCATTTGATCCTGTGTCTCACAGTGAAGGATGGGGTGATGGAGTCATGAGAGCACCCATGGCCGCCCTCCACTCCGCTCCCCGCCTCCGTCGGCCCCTCTTATCCCCCTAGCCCTGTCTGCGCCTTTCATCATTTATCTTTCCCTTTTGCTGCTATATATCCTTCATGGTCTTGTTTCCCACATAAGTGCCTCTTAAAAACCCGCTGAAGTGCAGTTTTAAAGGTTCTGTTGTGCTAAGAGCCATATAACCAGCCAACGAATAAAAAACGTCCACCTGCTGGGGATTCCTCCTGGTGTCAGTTTTGATTTAATTTGATGGTTTTAGGATCACCATTTGCTGATGCAGAACATCAGCTACTCTTCTCTGGTCCACAAAACAGAAAGCATAAGAACAGATAAATGGATGGTTACAGACAAAACAACCACAACTAAATTAAATTTTTAAAAATGTATCACAACCATATTAGTCTATATTTTCCTAATTATATACACTTATGATAGATAGACAGATAGACAGATAGACAGATAGACAGATAGATAGATAGATAGAATATTAAACAATCATCAAATCATCTCATTGTGAAATAATAAAATGGTAACGTAATACAGCTAGAAATTTTTAAATTACTAACTTGAGTAGGACATAACCATTCTCTCTTTTAATTTTGTTTCATTTGAGCACATGTTATGATCATTTAATGATGTTCTAGACACACATTCGATAAAGGAAGTGAAAGTCCAACAGCAACGAAGACAATCAATCAGTTACATATTCCATTTAGTTTAATAAGGCACTCCATGCATATGAATTCCACAGTATATTCTCTTAAATGGGTGATGAATGTAAAAGGTGCAGGCATTAGCACATAAAAGACTCGACTGCGAAAGGACACAGAGAACATGAGAGCTGTAATTGGGTATCTGTGAATTAATTTGTTCAGTGAACTTACAATGAATCACATCAGGTCATAAAACCCAAATGGAGAAGCGGGAGGATTGGCACAAGGTGGTGAAGGCAGATATTTAACATTTCAGCCTGAGTGCAGAGTGATGCTTTCAGCAGTCTGCACTGCCACCATGTGGAGAGAGAAGGGTGTGGGAGAGTCATGGAGATAACAGTAATGAGATCCCCAAATGCATGTCAAATCAGAACTGCTGTTCAAAACATAAACCCAACCTTGATGGATATTAGAACTTCTTCACACAAAGGAAAATGTAATGGATACTCTGGAAGAAACTCTGAGAGAAGGAGGTGAGCCACTCTGTGTTCATGAACTCTAGCACTATTTCAACATGCCTATTGATGAAAGTCCATTTCCTTTTGGGAGACTCAGTGCAAAAGAATGTAGAGGGGGAGAGAGGCCCTTATCACTGCCACCTCTTATAACCAAATTTATGAAGACATTTCTTTGGCGTGCTCTGCATAAACGTCAGTATTATAATCCTCAATAATCCCCACCAAGAGGGTGATGGAGGATGTATGTGACAGGGAGCGGTACCTTTCCCTGTGGATAGGAGACGCTTTCCGCCCAAGAGCAGGAACACAGGAATGTTTCTCTATCGCCAGTCATGCATCAATGTAAAGAATGTGGCTAAATCAAAAAAAGGAATCATCCACATAAATTATGTTCCAATGACCTGTGTAATATTAGAATAGCACAGGAAGAGAGATGTAATCACATCACCCTTGTTTTAGGCTCCTCCAGGAAATTGCCTTTGTAACAAGACTGTTAAACAATGTTTAATCAATGCTTTGTGTCTTATATGTTGAATTGTTCAAAAATGACAAAAACAAAGTATTTTAGGGAGGGATATGTAATATGCACTGGTAACTCTTACTGCTTTTTCTTCTATATTTTTAGTTTGTTTCACTTTTAAATTAGACTACAGGCAAAGGGGGCTTCTATGAATCTGTAATGTCATAATTACAGTGCAAATATATTCACAACAGAGTGACAGTACCAGTGAACATACATTACAGTTACATTACCAACACTAAAACAGGAGGGGAAAAATGCTACTGTCGCTACTTCTGCTGCTCATGTTATTTATTCACAGCAGTC